ATTTGGAGAACTTTGCTATATACCATTGAGTCTGGTAGGACAGTAGAGGACCCAAAGGCGCATCTTCAGAGGACCATTTCTAAGGGACAGGTTGGGATAAATGGATGCCTGGGGTGATGCAGGTTGTTCCTATGACAGACACCACGGATGGGACTGTGTTCAGAAAGACATGGTGTACCAGTGCCCTCGTGTGAACCTCGAAGTATCAAGCTGGCCTGGAGAGGACCAGCTTGACAGAGGTTTGGGATGAGCTATGGGAGGAGTAAGCTATGCCTGAGCCAGCTAGGGTGCAGGCAGCGCTGGGCAGAGCAAGATCCAGGACTCCGGAGCAGAGCAGCAAGAGAGGAAAGGGACAACTTCATTGCTACTCAAGCAGAGGTCTGCATCAGCCCTGGAGCAGGAAAGGGCTGTCTGACAAAGCAGCCGGAAAGGATGCCTCATGGCTGAGAACACTGGATGACAGGGAGATAAGACACAGCAGCAGCACGGGCTTGGGGGCCATTCCTAATGAACGGGGTTCTGCTAGCCCACCTGCCAAAGAAAACCTCCCTGTTCGCATGCTGCTTAGCATCTCTTTGCGACCTGTAGCTGGGAATAATGTCAGCAGCTACTGGATGAGAGACATGTCTTTTCCTTTGCTTGTATTAGAGTATGAGGGGGCAAAAAAAGTGAGAGAAAGAAAGACAGATCTCATTCCTCATGAACTTATGGAGAGCCAAGGAAAAGCGCTTGGCTCAAAAATCTTATACTGCATATTTTGAAATATATGTTTACACAACGACAAATGTATAAACAAAAAGTCGATGGAGCTACTGCAAATCCAAATAGAAAAGTGGCTTAATTATATGTGCACCCTTTAAACCTGCTGCTGGAAAGATTATCATATTTGCATTAGCTAGATTTGTTTTGTGTTGGTGGGAGCAGAGAGAGTCAAACACAGACTGCCTGGAATTCAAATGCTCTCAAGGCCTGGAAAGCTGAATCCAGGAGGTGGTTTATGATGGCCCAACCACAAAAGAGCACAAGCTCTTTTGCATATAGATAAGTCTTGAGAATGAGCGAGCTCAGTGACATGGGTGTGTAAATACCAGTACAACAGCCAAATTCAGTGCCTGCCGTGATATCCAGCACATGAAAAATATCCCAGTCCTCCTTCAGTGTAAGCTCTGCTCCTTTTCTAATGTGCCTGGTGCCTTTTGGGCACTGTTAAACTCTTATTGTCAGAATACAGAAGAGGAAAGCTCATGCTTTTTACATGCTTTCCAGAGCACTCATGACTGGTCATTATTGAAAATAAGTTGCTGGTTTAGATAATCCCCTGATCTCTTTCATGGTGGCAGATTTTGTACCCTCCTTATGACATATTTTCCATCATGGAGCCTATGCACTTTGGCATTATTGCAGATTTAGCTTGAACGGCAAGCTTCTTTCACGAAAAACGTTCGTAATGGGTTGTGGAAATGTCCATTGACAATTATTCCTTGGGTGAAATGTTTAGACTTTGAAATGACTCCTTGTATTACTACAACACTCACAAAGCTTGTGATAAGATGCATAGAAAATGTTTCACATAATGTCTGAGCAAGCAAGCCTACAATAGTAGCAGCGATTTCTGAGTAGCCAGGAGATATCTGAAGCCTAACATGAATTCTCCTGCTGGCTTTTGTTAGCATTCAGAAAGCCAAATGGAAAATGATCATTCTGCTTCATAGCAGGATTTCCAGTCATTGAAGTATATCTTTGTTCTGACTTGGAATGAAAATGAAACATTTCAAAGTTCTCTGAAAAACAGGCATTAGAAAAAGTGTTTGGAACATTGGAAAAAAAAAAAAAAGAAGTGTTTTGATCTTTCCTGAGCAAAAGAAAAATTGTGCTCGGAAAAAGGACACTGGTAACCCAGACGTCCTAGAGGCTTTGGAAGTATTGACAGAGCACATTGCCTCTGTGCTGGTGTCTTCAGGCCTCCTAATCCAGCTGGTTTTCTGTGCATCCCACCTCAAGGCGAGTGGGTTCCTTGGGACATGGCCATGAGTTCATTCAGGCTCACAAGTTCCCATGGGACCTGGGAACTTAGGGAGTTTTGAATCCAGGCAAATCTGACAGCCTAGAGACAGGATCCATCTCACCTGGATTTAACCATGTAAAAGTCAGACGTACAGTTTAAACTAGTCACCTGGTTTGCCTGCAGTCAATGGAGAGCCGTAGTCAGTTCCACTGGGTAACTCAGACCATAAAACTTTATGCGATCTGCCAGCCTTTTGATGGTTCCCCATCAAGAGCAGGGTTATCTCACACAACAGTCCGTAATTGCAAGACAATTAAATTGACAGCTCTGAAAGTTCAGTTCAAGTCTTGCATTTCTCCCATCATTGATATAATGGGGTGAAAAGTGGATCTGCAGTGGGTCTGCTGCTCTGTTAACCGCAAAATGAAATTTTATTTAGGAATCCTTCCTTCTCTTCTCCCTCCCTCCATGTTGTAAATCTGCAACTGGTGTAGCTGCATCTCAAACCAGGGGTGAAATCCACAACTGGCATGCATCACCGCCATTTGTTCTCTGCAGTGGCATTATGCCAGTTTTACTCCAGCTACAGATCTGACCTCTCCAGGGGGGTTCTTTATAAGAAGAAAATTAAAGAATTGCAATGAATATGCCTAAACTCTTCAGACATGCACAAAATAGCAAGCACAAATCCCTCGCTGCAGTTTTAGAAAAAAATTACTTACATTGTCTATGCAAATAAAGGAGAGATCCAGAAAAGCAACTGAAATTTTAACTAGCCTTTGTGATTTGCAAGCTGATGACATGTGCTAAGAGCATTGCCTTTGGACTTCAGTTGCCACTGCTGGCTCGATGTACCTCCACAGAGGACATTTTTAAAGGCCAACACCATTTAAATAAGCAAAATGGAAGCAGTAACTTCTCTGCTCAGGGTATAAGAAAAGAGCTGAAATATTGCCTGGTTTTTGGGCTGCTCAAATCAGAACATATTAAAACATGTCATGCATTTGTATTGGCTTTCTTAAAGCACCAACACAGATTTAAGCAGTCATTAAAGTGTGTTATTGGATTAACCCATCATGGAATGCTGCTATGATGAAGAGAATTTCTACGATTGGTTTAAAAAAAGAGGTTACTGCAAAAATGGTGTTTTCAATCAGTAGTATACCCTGACACAGAAAGATATCACTGAAGATAAGAGAGTTAAACTTCCCACCCACAGCTGTCAAGAGAAAAATAAGATTTCATACTTATTGAAAACTCATTTACGGTCCCCCTAAACAACCTGAATATTTTGCAAGAAGCATAGACTGCCCAGACATTTTAAACACACATAGGAGAAGACAATGAGGTAACAAAGGGATTTAATTCTCCCTTCAGACATTTAAGGATTCTCTACCAGTGGGTGATGGGATCCCACTCAAAATATAAAGACTAAATTGTTCTTCTGAAATAGCAGCATAACAGGATGAGTCTGTAAAGAAGGGGAGGAGTATGGGTCCATGAAAGAAACAAACCTAGCCCAAATTTTGCCCCTGTTGAGTGGGAGATCTCTGCTAAAACTCTACAAAGTCAAGTTTAGGCGAAACCGTGACACTAAAAAAAAAAGTGTCACTGACTGCCTTTAGGCTACAAATCAATTTGCCAAACATTTTAAGGTTCTCTCATGCTCAGAAAGTTCAGAATGAGTTGTACATGAAATGTGTATTCATGAAAGAGTGCAGATAGACTAGTCCTGGAAATTTGTATGGCCACAAAGCTGGCATCTCTAAAGAGAAATTGAGAGGAACTGCTGTAGAAAGGTGGGACTGAGAATTTGCTGCTGATGCTAAATGGTATCTAGGAAAGAAATGTCTGCTTATTTAGCAATCAAAACAAGTGACACTCCAGGGAAAAAATTGAGGAGGAAGAATAATATTTCTATAGTCTTCTATTGCTGATGTTAGCTGTGGATCTAGTCTAGAGACCATGATTACCAAGGAAAAGCTTAATTCTCTTGAAGAAAGTTTTGCAAGCCTTTTTTAAGTGGTTTCCAAATAGAGGAGCAATGGCAAGCAGTCCCTTTCTTTGCATGACAGTTTGGGAGATTATTCATTGCTTGAATTATCAAAAGGCTCTTGTGTGGTGGTCACTATCATGTCAGTAGTTTTCTCCTTGTAGTTATGGCTTCCAGTACTCACCAGCTCTGATTTTGTGTCCTTGCCACTTGCAGGTGGAAGCACGCCTCCTGGCATAACTGCACCAGCTGTGCCTAGCATCCCATCTCCAATTGGGGTGAATGGTTTCACTGGCCTCCCGCCGCAGGCTAATGGGCAGCCCGCTGCAGAAGCCGTGTTTGCTAATGGCATTCACCCTTACCCAGGTAAGCCAGACCAATGCTGTGCTCACAACATATTCCTTCAGTCTGAGGGCGATTGTCCACATCCACAGACTTTGTCTGGCATGAGTTGTCTCAGCAGGATTATATCTCCCAACATCAAGGCTCACTCTAGCATTGGTGTGGTTGGGTCTTACACAGCTACAGTCGTTACACACATAAATCTGGACAATAGACATCAAGGGCATGTTGGAGGGGGCACATTTTTATGCTGAAGAATTAAGTGCTCATCTGCTGGATAACTTGTCTGGTGAATACAATCAGGACAGCCAGCATGTTTCACTTTAGCTAAAATTTGATCTGAAACTGAGCAGTTCATGCTGGCAGATGTCCTAGCTATACTCCCAAGGGTCTTGCTCCTGGATAGCCTTGAGAGTGCTGTCCCAAGCCTGTTTGCATCTCCTAGCACCCACTGTTGGTATCTCCTACTGGGATTCCCTTGCAGCCGGATGGCTCTGGGAGGACGATTCCAGAGGGTCCACATTGCTGCTGACCCAAACTACTCCATATTTCAGACCGTATGTGCAGGCAGCAAGTGCTGATCTCCAAAACGCTCACTACATCCAAATCCTGTTGCCTTACCAGGCCTGGAGACTGAAGCTCCTTTAATACAGCCACAGAATGGGCTCAGCTGCACCCTTTTGTGGCACACCACAAGTGAGCTGCTGCTGGGTTTCATAGACTGCAACTAGCTCAAAAGATGCCGGTACGGGAGGGGTGATTTTGCTTGCTGTAGCAGTTACGAATAAATGAGAGAAGTTGGGGGACACATACCTACCTCTATACTGTACTTAGAAACATATAGACACTCTGAGTCTGCATTCACCAAGAACCCAGGAGTTTACAAGTCCTTAATGTGCACCTACACTTTTTCAGCATCGTCAGGATTTGAGACAGCTCTCTCCTCCAAGCTCTACTTCTGCTAGGATGACATTCCGCACTATTGCTGTACACATACTAATAATAACAACCATAACAATAAAAATTTAAGTAAATGTTACTAACTGATCCTAGCCACCAGCTGGCAAAGGAATATTTCACCCAGGGGCACTCATAGATTGATCTAGTCTGTTAGGTAATCAAACACTGAGTCAGATGCTCCAGCCAAAAACCCCACAAAACCCCTAAGAAAAAAAATCCTTTCGATCTCAGCCAGTCCTGAAAACCTGGAAGATTCAACATCACAGGGGACTTTGTGAGCTACAAGGGAAAATATCACATAACATAGAAATTCAAAAGTCTTACCTAGTTACCGTTCAGACATTGTCACTGAAAAAAAAAAACCTGTGAATGTAGCAAAGGAAAGACCAGAAATGTCAAGATTATTGAAAAAATAATTTTCATTTCCCACTTCCCTACCTTGTAAACATTTAACCATGAGTTCAGCTTTAATCAGAGTTGAAATCAAGGGGCTTACTGTGTTAAAAGTTAGACATGTGTATACATGTTTGTAGCAGCTTAGAGGGATGGAGAACTCTTGGAAGCTTGCGGAGGCATCAGAAGATCGGAGGGAGCCCTTAGTGGGCTCAGTGAGCTCAGCCACACCCTGTCTTTAAGGTTATACAAATATAGCCATTTGTTCAACTCTCCATCCATCCAAGTTTCTACCTGTTTGCCAATCTATCAACTCTCTGCTTATTCACACTTCCTTCCAACCCAAACCATTCTATGATTCTATGATTCTGTGATCCATTTCTATGTCTTTTTCTTTTTTTCTGGTTTATCTAGCTCCTTTTAACTAATATTCCATGATCCATTACTGCAGATATCAGAGAAAAGATGATCTTTCTAGATGAATCTTAACTACTTGAGCTTTTGTTACTATCTCTAAAAATTCCCATAATTAAAGAAAGCTTTCAGTTAGGTGTTTCATCCATGATTATATAAAAGTCAATGGCCTTAATCTGATTTTCTCAGTTTTGAGTTTTGGAGAGACTTGCTCAGCCAGCAATTCACAGTAAGTTGCTGCACAAACACCAACAGCCCAACATACTGAAAGGTGACAGTTGTCCTTGCTCCACTTCACTGCAGGAAGAGAGGATCCTTTCTTCAGGGAAAGCTGACATCCAAATAGTCTGCTTTGTGTAAAATCTGGATTTATCTCGGTGTGGCTTCAGCAATACGTTGGTCCTTCTCAGTGCTCAGCTTCCCCATGACATCGTGACACCTTAAGTTATAGCAGAGCTGTAAAAGGAACAGTGGCAGTCCAAACCCTCACCTCTCATTTTACTTCTGCCTATCCCCACTAGCAAGGAAACCCTGAAAGCAAGTTCCTTTGTAGCAGTTTGGGTGTAGGATGCAGCACGTGTTTGCACTGTCTTACTCTCTTCCTTCTCATGAGCATTTATGCACCCTCCAAAGCTTTACTTCTTGCCACAGGCTTTATTGAGGCCTGGAGCTTAGCGGCGTCAAAAAAAAAAAAAAAAAAAAAAAAAAAAGATTAGACATTTATATGGGTAATGAGAACATCCACAGTCACATTAGACTGGATAAAAATGTAGAAAGGACACAAACCTTCATGTTTTATGATATAAGCCAGCCACTAATTGCTTGGGGTTAGAAAGAAATTTTCATCACTGGGCAGCTTATTCCATCATTGTTCATTATGAGATTTTTTGCACTTTCCTCTGTAGCATCTGTTACTGGCAATGCCCTGTGGTTCTACACGTCTGTGTTTCTAAATGCAAGGGTAGAAATTAAAATATGGAAGATGAGCATGCAATTGCACTGACATTATAGAGAAGAAAAGAACATGTCAGTCCCCATCCAAAGGCAGCATCTTCCAAACAACTTTCTTTTATGGTATATCTCTCATTCTGAAAGTGGCCAAGAGTGCTGCAGTATTATGTACATAACCATAGTCTTACTGTGGTTATGACTTGCCATATATTGTTTAAAGCCTGAATTTTACTCTCAGATACTCTTTCATACTCCACAAAAAAACCTCAAATGTGGGTTCACACCATCATATCCTGTAGCAGAATGTTCTTTGCTGCCTGAAAATAGCAAAACAGGAAAATCAAAATCTGTAGAGGCGTGACATCCACATCATTCAGACCTAAATAAATCCCATTAATTGTGCAGTTTGTCTACATGTCCACCTATGTGTCTAGCTATAATATTTTTGATGCTGCATCTAAAAGCCTCCAGAACACCACAGTCTTTCGGTCTTTGCAGTGTAAAAACAAGTCCATACCAATTGCTTTTACTCTGTAGTTTCACTTTTTGTTTTCCCTGTTTCCCCTGTGTTCTTTTTTTAACAGTCCCTTTGTCCAAAGCAGGGACACACACAGTATAATTTAAGTCAGACTACTGAACCATCCATGGCTTTGGGGCAAAGGTGAGAGTAGGTTGAATGTCCTTGCTCACCAGATCTCCATTCACAGCCCCAGCACCTGCAGGAATTCACTTTTTCTGTGGCTCTCTCCAGGCTACGAATCCATGTGGCTGCGCTAAGAATCACTCCTTGCAGGCATAGCCTTTGCAAGTCTTGCTCTCACCTTCTCCAGGCTCAGCCAGTACATAATGTCTCACAGTGCACTTTTTGACATGGATAGAATCACAAGGGAGTAAATATTTCCCTTTCCACTAGTGTGAGTCCCTTTGGAGATGTGGCCTTTTTGTATATTAATGCCTGCCCTTTAGTCTTGCAGCTTGCAGAACTATTGAACATGGCAATGTGTCACAACATATACTGGGGACAAAGAGCATAATCCATTGTGCCGTGATCTTGTGAGTCACTTTGCAGCGGCGCAAGAGTGTTTGCCATTTCCACACTGGCCATAGTAACAGCGATCACGCTCTTCTGCCAAAGCTTCTTAGCCACCCCGAGCCCAGTGCCTCTCTTCTAACAGTGAGTGATGTGCAGCAACAGTGCAGACCATCTGCACCGATTTCTGCTGTGTCTCACACCATCAGCGCTCTGCTCTCTGGTAACAGGTCTGGCCCTACTGGATTGCATTGTGAGGAACTGGATAAAATGCTCGCTCCAAAAATAAAGCCTCCTTGGAAGAGAAGGAGAGGGACAGATGAGAAAATGGGGAGAGCAAAGGGCAGCAAACAAGAGAGAGAAGGGGTTGGCTGCCAAAGGATCAGTAAAACGAGGTAACTGGAAGGAGACACAGAGCGGAGCACCCCGAAAAGCACAAGCACTGCTCTGTGTTCTTTTGCCCAGCGATGTCCCTAGGCAGAAGCAGAAATACACCCCATAGCATCCAACAGCGCCCAAACAAACTGATTCCTCCTGAGCCAAGGGATGTTCAGCTTGATCAGAGCCAGGGATAGATCCAGTGGTATGGCAGCTTTGCGGAGCCTCACATAGGAAATCTGTTCCAGGATGCTGAGTTCTTCAGTGCATTTGGTCTGGGCTTAGGTTGCTGAGGAAAACAAAAGCAAAGTTCCCCTAGGTGCTCATAATACATTATAGAATCATTGAATCATAGAATCATAGAATCATGGAACGGTTTGGGTTGGAAGGGACCTTAAAGATCATCTAGTCCCAACCCTCCTGCCACAGACAGGAACACCTTCCACTAGACCAGGTTGCTCAAAGTCTCATCCAACCTGGCCTTCAATACCTCCAGGGATGGGGCAAAATGTGTTGCCTCATTTACTGTCCTCAGGCTCGCAGTGGTTCTCTTTCTGACAGCCCACTACTTCCAGGACTAGCTCTTTCTCTCCTCTCTGCAGACACAGCAGGGATACCCCCACTCCCCTTGGTTACACTGTGGGTATGTCTGGGCTAGCAAGACAGCAGTCTCTGCGTCATACCCTATTTGGGTTCCAGCTCTCTCCAGAGAGGACTAGTTGTCAGTACGAATGGGCAGCCAAGCCTTTATGCCCACATGTTTCCAAGCCACCGTTGAGACTGGCAGTACAGGTGTCCCCTATGGGTGAATTCCTCTGCTATAGAAACTCATGTCTTAGGAACTGAACCGAGACCCTTAGTTCATTTTCCTTCACTCGACAAAGAGCTATCAGGCAGTAACCAATTTCACTCATTGCCAGCAGAGACAGGATTCAAACTCCATCTGTAACTATTATCATTACCCAAGCTAATTTTGTGGGGGAGGAGTTTCTGGCATACTAATAAGACAGCCTTATCTATTAGCTTGTCAATTAGCTAGCAGCACTGCTGATGGGCAGACCGCTGCTCCAGGGCAATCAGTCCCCGCATTGGTCCCAATGACAACAGACAGCATCCAGTGGCATTGGGCAAGATCAGGGCTTCACTGGTGCAAGCAGAGAAAGGGAGCAACTTACCCCATACCTGACATTTCAGTCCTGAAAGGTGTCAGACAAGAAGAGTTTAAAGAGGAGGTGAATCAGGAGAACAGAAAGCAAGCGTCCTGCCTGCACCTGTGGAAGGTGCAGTATGAAAACCAAGCCCCACAGTATTCAGTCCAGACATACAACCATCCATACATTATACATTCCTTCATATAAGGAAGAAATTTTTCACTCTGAGGGTGGTGAGACACTGGAACAGGTTGCCCAGAGAAGTTGTAGATGCCCCATCCCTGGAAGTGTTCAAGGCCAGGTTGGATGAGGCTTTGGGCAACCTGGTGTAGTGGAGGGTTTCCCTGTCCATGTCAGGGGGGTTGGAACTAGATGATCTTTGAGGTCCCTTCAAACCCAAACCATTCTATGATTCTATGATTCTATGATACACGATGTCCTAGAAATGTACCTGGCTCAGTGGCCCCAAGGCTAAGTTACTTGCTGTAGGAAATCTTCCGCTGTGTTGTGTTTGTCCACCCTAAATCTCCGGGTGAGAGCTCTGCTGTTCATATTTTGTATCAGCAGTTCTAAAACTGCAGCAGTGAGCACCTGAAATGTCATTATAACTAGGAAGCATTTATTTGACCCATTTGTAACAATCTGCCACATGCCATAAACCACACTTTACTGGTAAAATAAATAAGTGAAGGAATGCACTCATTAAAAATATAATAACAAGTTGCCATCTTCAATTGTAGTCTAAGCTACTTTAATGATGCCATGTACTTCCAACAATCATGCTGCAGAGCCATAATGAATGAGGTTGTTTAAGGCAGTTGTGGGAGCCTTTCCAGGGCCAAAGTATTTTCTCCTCTGATCTGGAAGAAGGTGTAAATACACCTCAGGCTCTGCGCTGATGTTTTCAGAGGCAGCTAAGTGAGTTAAGACCTTGAGCTTTATTTTTAAAGGTGTCTTAAAC